ATGCTTCAAATTCTTGTCCTCACTTGGTATCACCTGTTTTGTTTTGTTTTTTTGTCATTCTAATAGGTGTGAAATGATTTCAATTTGCACTTCCTTGAAGATTAATAGAATTGAGCAGCTTTTTATGTGCTAATTGGCAATTTGTACATCATCTTTGGTGAAATGTCTGCTCAATTCTTTGTCTATTTACTTATTTATTTACTATTTTTGGTATTATTGAGATGTAAGAATCTACCATACATTCTAGATTTTAGTATTTTGTTGGATAGCATAATTTAAATTAAAATTTATGATTTAAAGTGTAACCATTTTTAAGTGCACAGTTCAGAGACATTAATTACATTCACAATGTTGAGCAACCATCAGAACTACGTATTCCCAAAACATTTTTATCACCCCAAACAGAAACTCTATAAACATTAAGCAATAACTCTACATTCTTCCCTCCTCCCAGCCCCTGCTACACTTTAATCTATTTTCTGTCCCAGTGAATTTATCTATTCTAGATATTTCATGTCAGTGCAATCATACAATATTTGTGCTTTGATGTCTGGTTTCTTTTGCTTAGCTGCATGGAATATCACACATGTCAAAATATTCATACAGAAATGAATGGAAACATAAACAGTTAACAGCAACAACAATGCTCTCTTAAATATAAACAAAGATGAGCCCTTTTTATCTCATTGCATTTTTTTGTTTTTGAATGTTTTTAAAGTTTATTCATGTTGTAGTATCTTTGAGAACTTTCTTTCTTTTTAATGGCTAAATTATATGCATATTATGTGAGATATATATGTATATTACATAACATGGATATAAATATCACATTTTGCTTATCGATTCAACATTTGGGTTGTTTCTGTCTTTTGGCTACTGTAATTAATGCTGCAAGGAACACTGGCATTCAAGTACTATACCTGTTTGATACTATACCTGTTTGAGTCCTTGTTTTTAATTCTTTTGGGTAAATACCTAAAAGTGGAATCGCTAACTCATATGTAATTCTGTGTTTAGCTTTTTGAGGAACCACCAAACTGTTTTCCATAGTAGCTGTACCATTTTACATCCCCATCTGTAATGTATGAGGGTTCTAATTTCTTTACGTCTTCACCAACACTCATTACTTTACTTTGTTTTTGGATAATACCCATCTAGTGAGTATGAAGTGGTACTCATTGTGATTTTGATTTGCATTTTTCAAAGACTAGTGATGCTGTGCATCTCTTCACATGATTCTTGGCCATTAGTATATCTTTATGGAAGAAATGTCTACTGAAGTCCTTTACCCATTTTTAAATTGGGTGGCTTGTTTTTTGTTATTGCATTATAGTAGTTCTTTACATATTTTGGATATTAAACTCTCATCAGATATATAGTTTGTAAAATATTTCTCCCATTCTATAGGACATTTTTCACTTTCTTTGTAATGTCTTTTGATGCATAAAAGTTTTAATTGTGATTATGTCCAAATTATCTATTTTTCCTTTCTTACCTAAGCCTTTGGTGTCAAAGCGAAAAATTCATAGCAAATCCAATGTTATAAATATTTACATTATTATGTTTTCTTCCATGAGATTTATGGTTTTGAACTCATATATTTAGGTCATTGATCCATTTTGAGTTACTTTTTGCATATGTTGTGGGAGTTAGGGATCCCACTTCATTCTTTTGCATGTGGAAATTCAATTGACCTAGCACCATCTTTTAAATGTTCTACTATTTCCCCATTGAATGAACTTGATGACCTTGCCAAAAATTTTTGAACATAGATAAATGAGTTTAATGATATCTTTTGAAAAGCAAAATTATTTAATATTGCTGAATTTCTGTTTCTTATTATTTTTTAACTTTTGGTTAGTGCTATTTACAAAAAATCAAGTCAAAGTAATCTTTCCATACAAAAATTTATACATTCTCCTTTGTTCTAATTTTTATTTACAATGTGAAATGGAAATCAAGGCCCATTTTCTTTCGTATGGATGTCTGTCCTCCCAATGTCATTTATTGAAAAGATTATTTGAAGATTATTGGAAAAATTATTCAATTATGGTGATGGCTTTGTTGAAATCAATCATATGTGTACAGGTGTATTCTGGACTTTTGTATTTTTTTCATTGATTTAGATGTCTGTGTTTACACCGATAGCATATTGTTAATTATAAGCATTTTATTGTAAGTCTTGAAATCAGGTAACTAATAAAAACTCTCTAATTTTGTTCTTTTTAAAACAATATTGACACATAATATTTGTCAATAAATATGTACATGTGATATTTTGTTGCATGCATAGAATAGGAAATGATCGAGTCAGGGCATTTAGGGTATCCGTTATCTTGAATATTTATCATTTCTATGTGTTGAGAACATTTCAATTCCTCCCTTCTAGATATTCTGATATATACAAAACATTGTCATTAGCTATAGCCACCCTATTCTGCTGTCAAACATTGTAACTTATTCATTCTATCTAACTATATGTTTGTGCCCATTAACTAATCCCTCTTCATCCTTCCTGCCACATGTTTGCCAGGCTCTGGTAACTTATTATTCCACCCTTTACCCCTATGAGATCAACTTTTTGAGCTTCCACATATGAGTGAGAATATGTGATATTTGTCTTTCTGTGCCTGGCATGTTTCATGTAACATGGTGACCTCCAGTTCCATCCATGTTGCCGCAAATGACAAGATAGTGTTTTTTTTTATGGCCAAATATTCTATTGGGTATACATACCACATTTACTTTATCCATTCATCTACTGATGGACACTTAGGTTGATTCTATGTCTGCTATTATGAATAGTGCTGCAATAAACAGGTGGGTGCAGGTGTTCCTTTGATATATTGTTTTTCTTTGCTTTGGATAATTACCCAGTAGTGGAATGGCTGGATCATATAGTAGTTCTATTTTTAGTTTTTTGAGAAGTCACCATATTGTTTTCCATAGTGGCTATGCTAATGTGTATTCCCACCAATAGTGTACAAGAGTTCACTTTTCCTTTCATCCTTGCCAGCATCTGTTATTTTTCAAAATGTTTTGGCTATTCTCTGATCTTATCAACTTGCCAACATTTAACATAAATCTCGCTGAGATTTAATAGTTATTGTGTTTAATCTATAAATCAGCTTTAGGAGAATGAATGCCTTCATATTGTCTAATAATTTATAAAATGAATATTTGCTCCATTTATGTATTTAGATATGCTTAGTTTCTCTCAGTGATACTTTCTAGCTTTTATTGTAGAGATATTGCACAATTTTATTATTTTCTTTTTGTTTTCTCATGAATACTATTTAAGAAATTTCATTTTCAGTTACTTGTTGCTAATAGGAATACATTAATTTATATATATTTATATATATAAATATATATAGCTAAATTTATGTATTACATAGCTAAATTTATTTATTACTTCTAGCAGATTGTTTTTTGGTAAATCTTTAGATATTCTTCATGGGCAGTTAGGTCAAATGCAAGCAAAAGTTTTCTTTTCTTCCTTCCTTTCTTCCACAAAGTTTATGACTTCTTTTGTTTGTCTTATTGCACTTTATGGGACTTTTAATACAATACTAAATAAAAGTAGTGAGAGTAAATATTTACCTTATTGTCAATTTTAGGGATTCATTTGTTTTCAACATTAAGTATGGTGTTAACTGTAGATTTTTTTGTACATGCTGTTGACAGTGTTGAGGAAATTTCCTTCTGTTTCTAATTGGTCTGTTTGTGTGCCTTGAAGAAGTGTTAAAGTTTTCCAGATAAATCTTTAATGATTTATTAATCTTGATTTTTTGAGAATTAAGGAAAATACATTAAGGTTTCCTAATTCCATTAACCTTTCCTTACGCTGTCAACATTTATATATATATACACACACACACACACACACACATATATAATATATGTGTATATTTTTATATATTTGTGCATTATGTTCAGCATATATATGCACAAATATTCATAATGCACAAATATTTATAAAATTTATGTCTTTATTATAGAATATATTATTTCTCAATAAAATACTATTGCTTTTTGAATAATTATTTTAAAATAATTTTTAATACTTCTAATAAGTATGGTATTAATACTATACATTTCTGTCTCTTTTTGTTTCTCTCTCTGGCATCTCTTTCCAACTTCTTTTTAATTCTACATTTCTTATAGACAGTATTCCTTTTATTTAATCTGAGACTTTTTTCTTTTAATATGTGCTTTAGGTTTAATGTTAAAATTTATGAACATAATTAATATGTGTGGTATAATAGATACAATGAAAGAAAGAAAGGAACTTGGCACTGCAGAGATAGAGAACACACAGCTTTTCAAGAACAAATAGAACATATAAAAATAGATCAAGAATTATGCCTGCAGAAAATTTCCAATTAATTCCTAAAGCAAAATTAATATAGTCCACATTCCCCGAATATAATGTAATAAAATTAGTAGTTTAATACAACTCTGCAGGTAAAACTTCAGAAATGATCCTCTAAATAAATTGTGGTATAAAGACAAAGTCTAAACTAAAATTAACAACTATCTTAATGCTAAAAGACATTAAAGGCAGCATCTATCAAGAGCTATATTATCTTCCCAAAATGGTACTGAGCTGCAAGGTTATAGCATAAAAATGCATATACTTTAAAATAAATAAATAAAGCTAATAAATTATGCATGTGAAGTAAAAACCTGGAGAAGAGAAAAGTAAGAAAAATAAAAGGAATTACTAGAGATAAACACAGAAACTAATTAAATTGCAAACAGAAATAAAAGGTAAAGATGATCAAGACAATTAAAAGCAAACTCTTTAAAATTATCAATGAGGTGGCCAAACTTGAATACTTTCACCAGTTAAAAATACGAACAAAAAATGGCAGGAATGAGAAAATAAATACCATTCTAGATATAGAGGCAACCTTGTACTAGTCCATTCTCACACTGATATAAAGAACTACCTGAAACTGAGTAATTTATGGAGAAAAGAGTTCTAATTGACTCACAGTTCTGTAGGCTGTACAGGAAGCATGGCTGGGGAGGCCTCAGGAAAGTTACAGTCATGATGGATGACAAAGGAGATGCAGGCACATCTTACCATGGTGGAACAGGAGAGAGAGCAGAGAGGAAAGAGCTACACACTTCTAACCAACCAGACCTCATGAGAACTCACTATCGCGAAACAGCAAGGGGGAAATCTGCCCCCATGATCCAACCACCACCTCCCACCGGGTCCCCCTCCCAACACTGGGAATTAAATTCAACAGGAGATTTGGGTGATGACACAGAGCCAAACCATATCAAGCGTAAGTATGGTTTATGTTATAAGTTAAGCATCTTAGTAAGAATTATTTGCTAGTGACACAAATGACAAAAGTTCACCTAAAGAATAGCAGAAATATTGATAGTGTCAGGTGAAATATTGAGAGTTTATTGCCCACCATAAAGGGAAATCAGGCGCAGGGTGTTTTTGGGTGAGGCTGATTGTACCTTTATAGAGATAACTTCTTTGTTATGTAATGTTTTTCGACTGACATAAAGAAAAATAATTTTTTCAAATAATTTTATGGGATAATATAACTCTGATATCAAGATTTAACAAAGAAAGCACAGACAAGAAAGCTAGTGAATACAGATATGAATATTATAAATAAACTATTAGCAAATTAATTTCAGGAATGTGTTAGCAGACTAATATTAATACATTATACCCAAAAGGCGTACACTGAGAGTACAAAAGTATTTCAAATTATGAAACATGTGCATTAATTTAATTAGTACATTAACAAAGGAGAACAGTGAGTAAACATCTCAAGATGGATGAATAAATCATTTGATTCATTACAATATTTGTTACTGACTCAGAAGGAAGAAGCTCTTAGTAAGCAAGTTATAGAAATACATTCTTGGAACTGACTTTAAAAAATCTACCAGAAGCCTTAAGAAAACTGCATAAATAATAATGAAATATTTTAAGTGTGGTAAGTTTAACAACGTCCCCTCCCCGCAACAATGTCTTAATTCCCGGAACTTGTGAATGTGTTACTTTACGTGTTAAAAGAGACTTTGCAGATGTGATTAAGTTAAGAACCTTGAGAGTAAAAGATTATTCTGAATTATCTGGGTGATAGGAATTTAGACAGAGGTGAAGGCAATGTGATGATGAAAGCAAGCAAGAGGTTGGAGCGTTATGAAGAAGAAACCTTGATCCAAGGAATGCAGGTGGCTTACAGCAGCTGATAGAGACAAGGAACAGATCCTCCCTTGCAGAAGGGAGAGCATGTTCCCCTCAGAAGGAACCAGCCCTGCAGACACTTTGATTATAGCCCTGTACATCACATTCTGACATCAGACCTCCAGAACTGTAAGGAAATACAGTTGTGGTGGGTTAAGTTACACAGTTTGTGGTAATATGTTATAGTGGTATCAGGAAAGCTAATACAAGGATAATCGGCAGTAAATCAGAAATAAGAAAAGGATCCCAGTACCATGTCAATATTGATGTTTGTTGGAGATGCTATACCATGCAATGAAATAAAAGTAAAATGTGTGTGTGTGTGTGTATACACATACACACATATATATATATAGACACATATGCAAACACATATATATACACACATGACAAAGATAAAGTTATTGTCCACCAAA